CAGTGAAAAAAGATTATTTTTTTTTTAAATCCAAACTATTGTGACACCAGATCTACTTAGTGGCACTTGTCAGCGTATCCACTGTTAGCGTAACACACCCGCTTTAAGGACACTGACTGCTATTCAATCTATAACAGTAAAAAAAGTTTTTTGTTTTTAAATCCAAGCTATTGTGACACCAGATGTAATTGGTGGCACTGACTGGGGAAATGGGCACAGTATGCACTGTGAGCCTGACACAGAAGCTGGCAGCAGTGGCAGACAACTGACTGCTATTCAATCTATAACAGTGAAAAAAGTTTTTTGTTTTTAAATCCAAGCTATTGTGACACCAGATGTAATTGGTGGCACTGACTGGGGAAATGGGCACTGTGAGCCTGACACAGAAGCTGGCAGCAGTGGCAGACAACTAAGTGCATTTACATTACATAGAAAAAAAAAAAAAAAAAGCATACCCTTATCCCTAACCTAGCTATGCTTTTCCCTATCTTATGAACAGCAGCTACACTTTCCCTCCTCTTACTAAGCATGCAGCTTGAGAATGAATCTAAAATGGATGCTGTCCAGTAGGTGGGAGGGTCTGCTAGGGAGGCTGTGCTGCTAATTGACTGGAATGTGTCTGTTGACTGTGAGGTACAGGGTCAAAGTTTACTCAATGATGACGAATAGGGGGCGGGTCGAACCGCGCATATGTTTATGAATTTATGAGTTTAAGAATTTATGAGTTTCACTACAAAGGAGAAATTCAAAATCAAATCTAATATAAATTGCAATACGAGAAACGTGGTATACATGTTACAATGCCCGTGTGGGAAACAGTACGTGGGGAGAACATGTAGAAAGTTAAAAGAGAGAATTTTAGAACATCAAAATAATATAAGAAAAAAATCAGTTAAACATATAGTGCCATTACATTGCAATACTTGCAATAAATTTGATTGGCAAAGTTTTACTTTTTTGGGCATAGAACATGTGGACCCATATTGGAGAGGAGGAAATTTAACCAAAAAGCTCTCTCAAAGAGAGACTTTTTGGATCAACAAACTAAAAACACTCCAACCTTTTGGTTTAAATTTAGACATCGATTCATGGAGTTTCTTTGAAGATTATGAGAACTACCTAATTTACATCCTGATGTTTGGGAAAACACTGCACCTTTCTCTCATTCAATAAATAATAAAAAATCTTTTATAATAATTTTTGTATATTTTTATTTTCATTTTTATTTTTATTTGTATTTCTATTTTTATTTTTATTTTCATCTTTATTTTCATTTTTATTTTCATTTTTATATTTATTTTTATTTTTATTTATTTTATTTTTTTTATTTTTTTTTTATCATTAATCATTTTTTATTAATTATTTTTTATTATTTTATATATTTTTTATTATTATTAGTTTTTATTATACTTATTTATTTTTGTTTTGAGTTATAAATTTACTTTATTTATCTTTAAGAATGGGATAAAGAGTGCAATATAAATAGGTTATATTACTCATATTAATGTCTATATATCATATATGTATGTATATGGTTTGTTATATATTTTATAATCATTTAAAAATGTTAGACTATCATATTATTATTCATGCATTCTATGAAATAAGATGATATTTCCATATAAATCATAAGAAGGAAATGTGTGTGGCAAATATGTGAAAAAATGTCTTATAAAACTTGTACCCAATGAAAATGGGATATATATATATATATATATATATATATACACATGTATCCATAACTATAGATTACATGGAGAATGTACATT